AATCCTAAACCCCTAAGCCCCTAAGCCAAAAAACGCCCTAGGAGCCGAGAATTCAGGTTCATCCTCTACCGGCACGAGCGGAAGATCCAGTACCTCAACGACCTGCACGGGGCCCCTTAGCTAACCAGGGAGCCGCCTTAAGGGTTTAGGGTCTAGGGTTTAGGATTGAGGGTTTAGGGCTTATAGGGTTTAGGGTTCAGGGTTTAGGGCTTAGGGTTTAGGGTTCAGGGTTCAGGGTTTAGGGTTTAGGTTTAGGGCTCAGGGTGTAGGGTCTAGGGTTTTAGGGAGCCGAAATCGTCGGGTCTCTCGTTCATGGCCCTGTATAGGGCTTCTTGGTTTCAGAGTGTCCAGGTTTGATCTTTTGAGATCCCTTTGCTCACTTGCCTTTTTTTCTCCTTGGGATGGGAGAGGGGGCTTTAGGCTAGGGAGGTGGATAAACCCTAAACCCTAAATCCTAAACCCAAAACCCTAAACCCTAAGCCCTACACCCTAAACCCTAAACCCTAAACTCCTAAACCCTAAACCCTTCTTGTGATGAGGTGATGGGCTGGTCGGAGTGGCCTCTGGACTTCTCCGAGTGCAGCAGCTGGCCGCTCGGATGTCTCCTCAAGTCTGGTGACAAGCGATACGGTGGATGATATAAATCCTGCATCACCCATATTAAGGAATATACCATAATTCCCATAGTTTAGGGTTCTTAAGGTAATGCAGGATTTATATCATCAACAGTACTCCTAAGGCCTAAGATGACTGGTAATGGTACGTATCACCATGGCAGGTATGAACTTGATATTGAAAATGGCAGTCAAGGTTTTTGTGGTAACAGACAAAAGTGCACGTCTGGACAGACATGACGACAATGATTGACAGTAGTGACAGCCAGATTACTGACGACAGCGATGGCCGTAGACAGAAAGGGGCCTGGACGGTCAAACGCAGGGTTAGGGGGGAAATAAAGCATACGATCTTGATCATTCAGACCTAAACCCTAAACCCTAAACCCTGAGCCCTAAACCCTAGACCTCTTTTGTGGCAAGGCCTACGCTCTATCGGATCGCCCCGATGCACTTAGAGCAGGCGCACTTCCGCTTCTCGGCGGCATCGGTTCATCGATTTAGGGTTCGGAGTTTAGGGTTTAGGGCTCAGGGTTTAGGGTTTTAGGGTTTCGGGGTTTAGGGTTTAGGGTTTAGGATTCAGGTTTCAGGGGTATAGGTCGCAAAAACCTAAAGCCAGGCCCTGAGGCCTGTGAAACCCCTGAAAGCCGCAAGAAGTCCGTTGAAGGCCTGAAAAGCCGCATGAACGCTTCTTTCGAAGAAGAAGAGGTAGTCCTGTAAAACTTGAACCGCCCTTTAGCTTGTGTGTCGATTCTACACCCTAAGGCCGAAACCCCAATGTGCCGAACCCATGACATGAGGGTGGTTCTCTAAATTAGGGTCCCTTTTCGGGTCCCCAATATAGTACGGCACCCCCTTATAGCAAGGACCCTAAAAGGGACCCTAATTTAGAGAACTACCCCTGAGGCGGCGACCTTTTCTTCAGCTTTCGCGAGGATCACTGGGGCCGGGAGGAGCTCCAGTTGCCGGAGCCCACGCCACGGAGGGTGGAGGCTCAAGGGATTTGCGGATTTAGGGTTTCAGGGGATGGGCTTTGAGGGTGTGGAGGGGCGAAGTTCTGGCTTCTGCGGGTTAGGGCAGCATCTCCAGCATGAGGCATGTCTATGCTGGGCCTACCTCCCGAACATAGAAGCAAGGCTGATCTTCTCCAGTGGTTGGCCAAAGTCGGCGTGGCGACGCCGGCGCGGCCAGATGCTCTGAGCATGCCTGCCCCCTTTAGCGCCAAGAGCCTCAGGGAGGTGCTGCGGAAGCGCCGGCGCCGCCTGCGGCTCCTTGTAGCAGGCCTGCTGGGGAAGAGCTGTAAGAGCAATTTCAAGGGACCCCAGTCATAGCCCCTGAGTGGTAGATTCTTTTCGAGCCAAACGCTAAGTAAGGTCTCCGCCGGTCGGCGCAAGCAGTAGCAGAAGGACATGCTAAACCCTAAACCGAACCCTAAACACTAAACCAAAAAACCCTAAACCCTAAACCCTGAACCCAAAACCCTAAACCCTAAACTGCCGAGAGCGCCGCTGACCATTTGCATGGGCTCCCCGGCCCAGCGTCCTCTGCTGGGTCTGTTTTGGGGGGGTCAGGGAAGTAATTCAGGGGGCTCATGTTCCCTGCCTGCCCGCCCTGCCCTGCCCTGCCCTGCCCTGCCCTGCCCTGCCCTGCCCTGCCCTGCCTGGCCTGCTTTCGAGCAACCCTGACAGGGTGCGACAGACGAAGTGTTTGTTGGGACCCCTTGCTTCTCGTCGAGCGGCGGGCACAGGCCGCGAGGACCCACAACCCGACAGTAATCCATCTCAGCTCGTTTGGCTGTGAAACGCATTTTCTGCAGAGCTGCGAGGGGAAGCAGAGAGCAAGAAAGTCCCCCTTGAGGGGGGTTGGGGGGGTGAACCCTAAACCCTAATTGAGAATAGTTGGGTTGGTTGGGGCGGGACTACATGCTGACGCAAGCGCGCGATTAGTGGGTGCGCCCCTACTCCTAAAGTAAACGGCGCACCCACCGCGCGCACACTGTTTACACACCCTACTGTACACCCTAAACCCTAAACCCTAAACCGTGCTTGGACATCCGGAGGCCACCACATGGGCTCATCCCTGGAGCCCTACACGATGCTCCTCCGAGCTGCCACCTCATCTTATACCACGGTGGATGATATAAATCCTGCATGACCCCATAATAAGGAATATATATATATATATATTTTTAATAAATCCTGCATTATGGATAAGGAGTATACCACAAATTCCCATAGTTTATGGTCCTGAAGGTAGTGCAGGATTTCTATCATCAACAGTAGCGGCCACTGAATGGAATTCTCCCAGAGAGAGCATGGTCTCGGTCAGGCCATGAACGTCAACGGTCTGGACATGGAGGTCCTTGTTTCCCCAGCTCAGGGGGGATGCACAGAACCCTAAACCCTAAACCCTACACCCAAAACCCTAAACTTTAGACAAACATTTTCAGAGCCTGGGCCCATAGGTGCAGTTCCATGGGCAGCGCCATCCTTCCCCGGAGGTCGCCTGTAAAGAGCAGCTCGGCTGGGGTCTTGGGAGTTTAGGGTTTAGGGGTTTAGGGGTTTGGGGTTTCGGGTTTTGGGGTGGGGTCTCCGAGTTTTGTTGCCGTCCTCCTGTCGGAGGTTTTCTAGAAAGAACTGGATGTTGCCTGCCAGGGGACCCCCTGCATTTCGTACAAGGGGCCTCAGGGTTCACTTTCAGGTTTAGGGTTTAGGGTTTATGAGGCTGTTTTGCTTTTGGAACCCTGGAGTGGCAGCGAAGCTTTCTTTTGCGAAAGTAAGCCTTCCCTGAGACACGGCAAGACCCCGAAACCTCAAACATTGAAACAGGAAGTCACCAAAACGCTTGAACACTTGAACCTTACTCTGAGCCTCTGAAACCGCAAAGCCCATACCCTGAAACCTTAAGCCCTAAACCCCTGAAGCCTTGATACCTGGTAACCTGAACCCTAAACCCTAAACCCCTAAACCCCTAAGCCTTCCACGCAGAGGTTCGGCTTCTGCAATGAGAATCGCAATCTGGCTGACTGGATGAGGCGATGGGAGTGGAAGCATTCCTGGGCCGCCGCCTCAGGTCCGGAAGGGTGCGGGGGAGTGCACTGTTCAGGGTTGAAGGTTTTAGGGTTTCGGGTTTAGGGTTTTAGGGTACAGGGCTTTAGGGTCTAGGGTGCTAGGGTTTAGGGTTTTAGTGCTTAGGGTGTGGGGTTTAGAGTGTAGGGTTTGGGGTTTAGGGTTTGGGGGAGAGTTAGGGGTTTAGCAAGCGAAACTGATAGTAAGCATGTAGCACTAGTAACTATAGTATCACCGACATTCATCATCAATTAGTGATCGCACTATGTGGTGTAACAGCAAGAACAGACACCAACACTGGTGATGAAGATGGTCTTCAGGAATATCTTTATTGGGGCGGTGGTGCTGTTCATGGTCATGCATATAGTGTTTACAGCAGAACTCAGCCTCCTAAGGTGGACGATTACGAGTGGACCGGAACCTACTTGCGTGAAGCCCAGTCCTCAAGCTGACAATTGGGTATCTTTTGATGAGGATGCACGAGAAGTGGCACGAAGCGCTCGACAGTGCCTTGGCGACGTTTTGGACTGGCAGCGTCCTATTAGGATAGGCTAGTCTAGGATGACTATAAAGGTTACTATCCTGTCTGTAGGTGCAGAGCCTGTCTGGGAGGTCTGGCAGAGATTGTCCGATCAGACAGCTTCCTGTCCAACGTGCACGTGGTTGTCTGCGGTGGGCCTGCATGGCCACTTTATGACAATTCATGTAGGTGCCTAAATAATTACCAATACTATTTTGGGGCTTCCTGATTATAGTTATAGTATATTGGGCCCCGGAACCCTATTCTAATTATTATGGCCCCTACATAATCCTTCTACTGCACTGCCCACGCTCAGCTTGCAAGGTTTTGCTCTATGCTGCGGGCTGTGAAGGCCGGCGACCCAGATTCCAGAAACCAAAAGCCCCTTTTCTCCTGGGCATGTCCCTAAACCCTAAACCTTAAACCCTAAACTCAAAACCCTAAACCCTAAACTGTTGCGAAGGCCATCCCGATGCTCCTGTATTTCGCCTGGCCCCTGGTGCCCTACATCCCCGCGAGCCTGAGGCCATGGGAAACCCTTGATGACACATAGGAATGCGCGTATGGGTCGGTTCACATGTCCGGAAACGCCTCGGGTGCAATTTCGCAGCAGCTTTCCACATTCTGTCTAGATGCCACGACGCTCCCGGACACGCTTCGGATGGCATTCCCCCTTTGTTTGCCACAGTCCAGCACGCCCGACGCACCTCGCGCGGAACTTCCCGTTAGCTTGCCGCATTTCAGGACCTGCCCGACTCTCGCGAACGTTTGTGGGCGCTTGCACTCCTACCCCCACACCGTTGAACTGCGCATCAGTGGAACACAGCGCTTTTACCTTACTCGACGGTTCATGGCTAGTTGTAAGACCAAGATAAATTATTCTGATGTCGTGCGAAGACCGTAACCATAATGCCCTAAACCCTAAATCCTGAACTCTAAACCCAAAACCCTAAACCCCGAACCAAGCTACACAACTATGATGACCGGTGAAGGAGTCGTTACCCGACAGGTCCCAGTTTCTCCTGCAAATCCAGACGCTGGGCCAAGCCACCTCCCCGCCGGCGATCTTGGCCTCTTGCTTGCAGGATCGTCGGACTTACTAGTAGTAAGCAGGGTTAGAGTTAGAGTTAGAGTAGCTACACTTGGGATTTTCCGAACATTAGGGTACCTTATTTTGGGATCCTTATACTGGGGTTCCTACTATTTAGGGTACTATATTACGGTCCCCTATTTTCGGAACCCCCCACTTAGGAAGGGGGTCTCGGGCTTCTCTTGGGGCTTTTAGGATCCGACGAGCCCGAGGTCGCTGCGAATTGGGTCCTGGCCGTGCAGTTCGCTCTGCAGGCAGTGAGGGGCCGTTCAGAGATGCCATGGGTTTAGGGTTTAGGGTTTAGGGGGAGAATGGCAAAAGTGCTCAAGATCTTCTTAGGATCAGCAGCCCGGAGTAAGACCAACACTGCAGACACCCATCAACATGTGTGTGCCTCCCTTGAATTGCCGATGGGAGCGGAGATGTAAACCGGATAGCGAAACGCAGACTCCTACGCTAAACAGACCGGCCCTCCGCAGCATCCATGGCAGCCTGCGGTGACCAGCCGGAGGCGCCGGAAGAGGAGGAGCAGGAAGCAGAGGAGGATGCCCAGAGCGATTTGGAGTCTAGGAATGGCGATGATGACCGCGACTTCGACGATGGAGACGACACTGCTCAGAAACCTCTCCCAGGCTTGATGGTGGCCTCCGGAACGAAGTTGCGGTGTAACTGGGTTGACCCAGAGAAAGAGGACGACTTTTTGCAGTCTTGGAAGAGGGTCAAAGTCGATCCAGTCGAACTGGAGGACAGCGAGAAGGCCGCTTTGGCCCAGCTACTTCTTGCCTCCAAGGCCTGCGAGCGATTCCAGCTCCGGGGGCCTCAACATCCCCTCCAGAAATGCCCCGCAGTTCCTCAGCGTCACGAGGGCATCCTAAGGGCCGTCTCGGAATCCCTGGTGAGTCGGTTGGTGGTGCTGCGCGTCGATAACTTCCCGGGCTCCGGGGATCCCGTCTTCGGCACCAAGCACGAGCTCCGTCGGAGCTTCCGGGCTCCGGACCTCTTCGGAAAGCTGGCGGAGGCCTTTCAGGGCGCCTCCGGCACCCGGAGCCCAAGCCTGAAGAAGGTGACCCTGCAGGGTGGCTATCATTCGGCCTCATCGGTTTGCCGCTTCTTGCAGGTGGTGAAGCCCGAGCTCGAATCCTTCCGCTGCCGGGACTGCCTCTTTCACGGCCGGAACTTCGAGATGCTGGTGAGGGCCTTGAGCGGCACCAGCCAGAAAAGTCTCATGGAGTTTGAGACGGATGCAGCCATCGGCGGTCAGGATCCCTTCGGACTTCTGGCTGACTCTTTCCCGAATCTCAAGATGCTGCGAGTCAAGTACATGTTCGGGAAGACCGGCCCGCTTGAAGCCTTGAAGCGTCTGAAGCAGCTTCGCAAGAAGCAGTGTGTTCTGCCAAGGGAGAGCCACCGACTTTGTGGGCGTCCGGCGGTAGATGAAGAGACAGGCATCGTCTACTGGTTCATCACCTCCGAGCACCATGACGACGGCTACAGTGGAGAGGGCCTTTCCTGGGACGAGCTCTGGAACACGTGCGAGTGCATGGAGGAGTGGGCCGTCGGCAAGGGCGTAACCAAAGAGCAGTGCCTCGCGTTCATGGAAGACTGCGGCATCGGGCTGGACGACGATCTCGACGACGAGCACTGTGGCTTGGATGTCGGGGGTTCTGCTGTCGACTCAGAGACTGATGAGGACACCATCGTTGCGCAGCTGGAAATTGACGAGTCTGTGGGTTCCGAGGGCTCTTTGGCGATCAAGGCGCGAACGATGGATGGTCGTGAGTTTGCACAAATGACGCTGGATGCCAAGAAGACATCGGTGCGCACACTCATCGATGACTTGGCCTCAAAGTATCCCTGCTCACCTCTCTCCCTGCGCTTGGTGCTGCCTGGTGGTGGCTGCATCGATGTTCTCGAAACAGCCAATCAAGTCTTGGCAGCGGTCTTGGTATGAAGGCGAGGAGTGCAAGTTTGTCTTGCGGGTCAAGCAGCACTCGCTCTTCCGTTGTCAGTACTTGGCTGAGCAACGCTTAAAAGACGGAGTGAACTTCAGCATCTTATGCCAGACTTCAATTCGATGGCGTCAGGTGGGTTGTGATGTTGACTTAGGACTTCACGCCACAGAAATGCGAAAACAGCCAAGGCCAAGAACTTTCCATTTGCCCCTGTCCGCTTGATTGGCGGGCCTTGCCGAGCTTTTGCACATGCCTGCTATCATTTACAGCAGTTCCATCCTGTACTCTAGTCCCAAAACTCAGAGACTCTAAACTTCTAAACCCTAAACCCTAAACCCGAAACCCTAAACCCTAAACCCTAAACCCTTAAACTTCTAAACCTTAGTCCCAAACCTCCAAGAGGCGCACGGAACATAGCCTAGCTGGGTTCTGGTTAAGGGATTTTCACTTACCATAGCAGGAGCTTTCCATAACAGGGATCTATAGTACATAACACGGAGCAACTTAGATTAAGTTCCCGAAACCCCAAACCCTAAACCCTAAAACCCTAAACGCCCTGAACCCCCTAAAACCTCTAAGCGCCCGAAACCCCCTACACCCTCTAAAGCTCCTAAGCCTTCTAAAGCCTAAACCCTACACCCTAAACCCTAAACCCTAAGCCCCCTAAACCCTAAACCCTCAACCCTAAACCCTAAACCCTAAACCCCAAACCCTAAGCCCCCTAAACCCTCTAAAGCTCCTAAGCTGACCAGAGCCAGGTTCGCCTCGCCGTGCCCGTGCAGCGCGTGCACGGCCTCTACACGAACCAGACCCACTCCCCGGATCCTTGGCTTCTTTGGGGGTTTTTGTTTAGGGTTTAGGGTTTTGGGTTTAGGGTTGAGGGCTTAGGGTTTAGGGTTGAGGGTTTAGGGTTGAGGGTTTAGGGTTTAGGGTTGAGGGTTTAGGGGAGGGGTCAAAGAGACTACATAAGGAGTACTTCCGTTATAGTCCCTAGACATCCCTGTCATGATATACCCTCCAAAACCGTATTACAATGATCAAGGCCGTTTCAAGAAGCTTTCATGAACATACAAGGATCTCACGCTCCAGGCTTTCTGGACTCCCCCGCTCTACTTGGGCCTTACTAGGTGGGCTTCGGCGCTCGCCCTTGGCCTTAAGACGTATGTTAAGCTATAATGTATCATCGTACACTTTTCTATGTTACACGAAACTACGCTGTATTAGATTCAAAGAGACGGCTAGCGTCGAAGAGGTCACAAGCCGTAAGCGAGACGCAAGGAGGCGAGTATAGAAGCCTGAAGAATCAGAAGAGGGGCTTTGGGGGATATATTAACAGTATCACTCAAACGGAACTATGAGGGGATCTTGTTACTAGGTACCCAAAAAGAGTGTTTTGGGAGTATGTTATATAGTACAGTTCTAATAAGAAGCTCTAACGGAATAGCGTTGGTAATTATCCAGGTTTCTATATTAGCCATGGATGGGCGTACTAGACGACATCGTAAGTCCTACATTGCTTGTATTGCGATGATGCTGACTCCGAATTATCTGTCTTGTCATTATTCTTTTCGCTTTTATCCTCTCCTTCTCCGTACCTTCAGAGTGTCGTAGAGCTCAGAATTCAGGACTTGCTCGCTAAAACCACTTAATGACACAGTAAGGCTTAGGGGGTTCACCCCTACAGAACTATCCACGATTTGTTTGGGGGCCTTCACCCTGAACCCTAACCTAAGACCGTACGTGCGGGGGGGGGGGGGGGGGGGGG